TGAGAACCACTGCATTAAACACACCTGAAAAGGTGTGTTTTACTTAAATGCTTAGGGAATCTATCTAAATGTTGCTTCTCAAAAATGAGCTTTCTAAACTTCCAGTTATCACACTGGCATTAAATTGAGTATGTCATGATTCTATGCAATGGTAAGTCAAAAAAGTATTGATACAAAATCATCAAGTTTTATTGAACAAACATACTAAAATATGAGGCGACTATTTCCTGACATGTCCTCACGCGTGTTTACACACTTCTGATGGCAGGTGTCCATTTCTCTAGCCCTTCCCCAAGGAATTCGGAGCTTTGTGATTTACACCATGTCAAAACGGTCAGTTCGGAATAGTCAAGGGACTCACATCCTGTTCCTTTTAGCTTGGGGAACAGGAAGAAGTCTGAAAGGGCAAGACCAGGGCTGCAGGGTAGATTGGATCAGACAGACCGCAGAAATTCCGGTAGGGCGGCTCACTGCTCTCTACGAATGAGGCGCACTGTCATGATGGGAAAACCGCCTTGGCGGAACTTTCATGGCCTTTTGTCTCACAAATGCAGCTCTCCCTTCTCTTCAGATGCCTTCTTCACCAGCCCCGTGACCATCCTGCGTCCTTCAGAGAATCAGGACGATCCCTTTGGGATCTCAAAGAACAGTCACTGTAAGCTTGTGAGCGGCACTCTCTGCCTTGAACTTAATTAGCCCAGCAGAGTCGCTCAGAAGGGCACGCTCTCAATTGGCACTTTGGCAGGACTTGGAGGAGGGTCCTACTGAGAGCTTTCTGCAGCCAACCTTGAGGGCAGAGACATGCCGGGACACCTTTTAATTGGAATAAGCTCATGAATGTACACACGGGGACTCTAGCCGCAATACTTTCTCTACTTCCCTTCGTACCTATTAACATAGTCATCCCCCCAGATTGTCCCATGGTTTAATATCTTACCTATAACCGAGACTTTGAGAAGTTCAATTTTATCGTTAAGGCCTGCAGCTTGCAGATTATCACGTGCTCCCAGTAGCTGCGAGTCACTGACGTCAGCGCCCACATAATACACATCCTACAGGGATAGAAATTCCCATTTTAAATATACACAAGACTTTCTTTTCAAAGGATGAAAAAGAAATCAATACATTTGTTAATTCCATCTATGACGCATTTAGGAGATTCGAGTATAATGACTGGCAAAAATGAAAAGTTGCATTAACAGTTTTAAAGTCTGTAAAGATTTTACAATGAAAACATGTAAGGACTTAAAAAGATTTGTATAATCTAGGTCATGATGACTTAATTAAGCTGTTAGGCTTTTCTAAATTTACCACAGTATTTTAGGAAACAACAAATATACTTTGCCCTTCGTTATCTAGTTTGATGAAATCTACATACTTAGCACGTATGCATGATCTCGTTGTCTAACATCTTGCATTTACACCAATGGTAACAATCTTTGGGCGTGTGTGCTTCATTTGACACCTGAGTGATGTACATTTGACAGTAACAAACTGAGGGGTGAGGGGAGAGGAACAGTTGAGGTTACGTCATGATTCTCTGTGCGTGGCGGTGAAATAATGATGACGTCTTCTTCATTGTATGACCTGCTGTAGTCATCCTCCAGTTTCATAAAATGAAGCGGTCTTTGGAACCAAACCATGTCCACAGTGAGGAGTGAGTGTACTTAAATAGAAAATCCCATAATTAAACACTTTGGTCTACTTGTAAGAAATGCATGCCTCCTCGTGTCTGTCAAAACATATATATTATTGGTTCACCAAAGTTTAGCACTTACTGGCCATTCTTTAGCAGCTTCCAGAAGTATTGTACCAAGTCCACACATTGGATCTAAAACAACTGTCCCAGCCTGCAGACAAACAAATATTGATGGAGGTTTTAGTAAGTCTACCAAGAAAGGTTTAATAACAGGAACCTAAAACTTGAGGAATGAATATTTTAACAGTAAAGTTTGCTTGTTACACCTTATTAGGAACTTCAGGTACTTGACCGCCTGAGGCAGGAGTCTGCGTGGGGTGCCTGAAGAACAGCCAAGAAGCTGGTTTAGCAAAAGCACTTGGAGGGAGAGGGAATGCAGTGACAGTCAGTGAGAAAACAAGGTGCTTCTGTCCAGATGAGCTGGGCTTTGCTGCATGGAGTAATAACTCCTGAATTTCAGAGGCTTAAAGCTACATGTAGTGCATGCTACGTGCCCACTGGAGGTCCCCTGGGCCTTCTGCTCCTCACTCTAGGACCCAAGCTGACGAAGTGGTCACCATTCAGATGGGACAGTGCCATCACTGTGGCGGGGGAAGAACAGCACAGCACTGGCTCTTAGGCTGCCGGCCAGAAGTGACATCCGTTGCTCCATTTAACTGGCTAATGCATGTCTGTCACATGGCCACATACAATGCCAAGAGATCAGAGAGGTGTTCTTCCACTCGAATTTGGGAGGAGGAAAGGAAATTTGGAGGACAAAACAAATTCCTCCTGCTCTGGACAATAGATCCTGCTAGATCTTGGAGGTTCTTTAAGACTCCAGAATCCGTCCTGAAGGAAATGGGTAACTGCCGAAGGGTTTTGGGCAGAGGCGTGAACATGGTAGTACATTTCAAAGGGATCACCTTGGCTGCTCTGAGGGTTAACGGGGAGGCTCGGTAGGGTGTTAGGGAAGGGCAAATAATGGCGGAAATGAACAGTCGTGGTAGTCATGGTCAGAAGAGTGAGGACTCGCTCTGTTTCAAAGGCAGCGTCAGCACGGTATGCTGATGATCTGGATGTGGAATGCGAAAGAGAGGTCACAGCCTGGGATGGCTGAAGGGCTCAACAAAAGCAACCGAAGAGCAGAGCCGCCTGGTCCCGAGATAGTTGGGGGTGCAGAGAATACATTAAGTTTGGGATCTGAGGAGATTCCCAAGTCCAGGTGTCACGTGGGTCACTGGAGATATGGGTCTGGAGTCCCTGGACAGGGTGAGGCTATTGACAGCATTCAGAAACCGTTAGCGTTCATCAGTTTATCAATGGTGTTTCAAGTATTAAAATGGCAAGCAAGCAAAGCTATGGGAGCAAAGTGTGTGGACATCGTCCAAAGTACAGCTATCTGGAAGATGAAGGACCAGTAAAGCATGCTGAGAAGCGTGTAGTGGGAGAATCTGATGAGACTGGTGTTCCCAAAATAAAGTGGGAAGAAAAAACAAGCAACTGCTTGAAGGAGGCGAGTCAGCATTAACGTCCGAGCGCTGACAACTTAAGATTGCCTACTGGGGCTGGGAACCTGAGACGGGCAGTCTCAGAAAGAGCAGTTCCAACAGAGTGCTGCAAGGAGAGCCAGATGGGCGCGGGTAAATGAGAGAACAGGCAGAGAGAAAGCAGGGACCCCAAATACAGACAGCAATTGTGTGAGTTCTGATGTACACGGAAGCCAAGAAAGCAGTGACAGTTGAAGGAGAACGCCAGTTTGAGAGGACTTTAAGATTTTAGGTCGCAAGATGTTATAGGAAGTGTGTACACGGCAAGTCAAAAAGCACTGGTACAAAATCATAAAAACTTTTATTAAATAATAGTATCCAATGGTGATGCTGTTTCTAAACACATCCTCTTGCTAGATCTGTATACTTCTGAGGCTGTTTCCAGCTCTCTGTCCCTTCCTCCCAAAGAATTGTGCACTCTACAGTTTATACTACGTCGAAAGGGCCTCAAGTCATGTTCTCTGAACGTGTTCTTTGAGTGTGGGGAATCAAAGTAAGTCTGACTGGGCAGGATCTGGGCTGCACTGTGGATGGAATAAGGTTTTTCCCAGTGAAATTCCCATAGTACAGCACTTGTTCCCCTTGAAGAATGAGCAGGTGCATTTTCACAATGGAAAAAAAAATCCTTGGTGCACCATTCCTGGCCCTTTTCTCATCAATGCAATTTTCCATATTCTTAAAATTTCTTCATAAGACGTTCCTATGATTGGCCCATGTCCTTTGAGGAAATCTATTAAGATTATCTCTTAAGATCACTCAAACACTGTCACCATAGCCATGTGAACTGACTTCTCTGCTAGAACAATTTAGCTGGTCCACTAGATTCTCTCAGAGCCCACTGTTTACATTAGATCTTGCTCTTTGGATCACATTGCTAAATTCCTAACTCATCTCCAGTTACCATGTTCTATAAAATTGCCTTCATGAGCTTTGATCTTGCTTAAGAGTGATGAAAAGATCAGCTCTTTGAGCTGAACGTATGGTATTCATCAAGCCAAAAGCTCGATGACGCCAAGATGTTCACTTGAGATCCCGATTTCGGTCGCTACCGAATCAATGGTAACTCTATGGTCTTCTTCCACCAGTTTCTGGACATCAGCCATTGTTTCTTCATTCAGCCAGTTGGCAGTCTTGCCTCTGCTAAAGTCTACCTGACCTTGCTTTAAATGAAATGGTTGACCCATCTAAACTCTGGTTTATGGAGGGCAGCTGTAAAAAGAAGCAATGATGCGGGGGTGACATCTAATCTCCTCCAGCTACACGAGGGGAGGCAAATCACCATGATCCGCACCAGCTGCTCAGAGACCTCTTCCTCCAACTTTCCTTACCAATTCTCTCACCAGCTGACTCTTCCAGACACTCCGCTCCCAGATCTTCTCTCTCTTTCTCTGCTTTCAGCAAAGATCCACCTGACATCAGCAACAATATCCCTTTTCTACATGTTCTTCTGAATCTAGGACTAGAAGAGCCACATTAAATAATTCACTGAGCTTCAGGAGCATTCCCATACACTTATTTCAATGACTTGGGAAGTTGTCCATTTGAGTTTTACAAAAAATAATTTTTTTCCCATAGCACAAACAGTATCATTGCTTGATGGCACCCTAAGGAGATGAAGACAGCGTTAAAACTGAGGGCAGCCATTCACTCCTTGCAGAGTCACATGTAAACATGTTTTGCTTGAATAAACCAGTGCGTGTACGAACTGGAGCCCTGGAAGCAACACTTTCTGATTTAGCTTTGTTTATGGATGAGAAAGGGTCAGTAGAGACAGAAGTCTCTAAGTAGGTGAGTGGGATGGAATCTAGCATACAAGCATTACTGCTGGCTACAGAGTTTTAAAAGGACAGTTAACTTATTGTAAAGAGGATAAATCGGATTACATGGGCCCAGATTTTGAGAGATTAGTAGATTTGGAAACAGCATGTTGAAGTTCTATTTTGAGTCTAATACTTAAATAAAGCCAGAAGCTATTGTGCTGAAAGCGCTGAAAGTGTTCAAAGAAACAAAGTCCGAACGGTGAGTAAGAGATAAGCATAAGCGGTGAGAAATGGACCATGGCCCCTGATTATTAATCCATCAAGGGGGTGGGAGGTGTGGAGGTTCAAATAATTGTTAGGAAACTAGAAAGGGAACAAGAAGAAATAAAGAAGGTAGTAAAAAGCAAGATTTTTGAAATTGGGATTGTTGGAAGAGATGCCCTTGTAGAGATCCTGACAAGGTCTAGTATATGTCTAATGCAAACCATTAGAGTCAGAGAAGCCAACAAACTAGGAGGCTAGGCTACAAAGCATTATGACAGCCTTGTAGACATGATGAGGAAGTTGTGTGCATCTTAGGGTTATTGAGCCAGCTATGACTCCCAACAACCCTAGAGACAGAGCAGAACTGCTCCTTTGGGCTTCCAAGCTATAAATCTTTCCAGGAGTAGAAAGCCTTCTCCCATGGAGCAGCTGGTGGGTTTGAACTGCTGACTTTTCCCACGACACTAATAGGGCTCCGTAAGAAGATGTGTGCATGACTGAGATAATCTGTTAGTCTGTGCCTCCACCAAGGCACTGAGAGGTTTTCCATGAAAGGAAGGAAACCATGATTTGGAAGGGGCAACAAAGAACAAGCAGGGCACCTACCCGACCTCCAGGCCCCACAGCACATAGGGTGTAGGAGAAAAACCATTCATCACCTGATAGGGCTATAGAGGAAGCAGAGTCCTCAATGGGCAGCCAGGAGACAGTCAGAGCCATACAGGACCTAATAGAAGGAAACAAAATGCTCTTCAGGAGAGAGAAAACTTCCCCTGGGACTGAATACTATGGAGTATGTGATAGGAATCCCTGGTGATGGGCAATAAATAACACAAGGAACAATGGTGTAAATGAAAATTTTGTTTAACATTAATAATTGCATAAGAGCTCATTTTTATTAAGAGGCTCACAGGCACCAACCATTGAGCACTTCCTCTCCAAAGGTCTACGTTCACGGTGTTCATTTGAAATGGTTCTGGCTGTAAGTAGTTCTAAATTTACTTTGTTTCCCCTCAGGGTGTTTCTAGTATTGACATTTGTGTTCACAGGCAGAGTAGAGAGGTGTTTACTCCTGGGTGCTTGTAACACCAATCAGGAACTACAGAACACGATGTTCCTCCTTACTTGTTATGGTATGCTTATAGAAAACTTAATATCTAACCTCCCTATGTTTCACTTCCATTTTTAGTGGTACTGCCCTCCTCAAAGTGGAGCTGTCTAGGCCGTAAGAGTTAAATAATAATAGAGACAAGAAGTCCTTAGCTGAAGAGGAAAAATCAAAAATAGCAACTAATACGTATAAACTTCCTATAAGCCAAGGTGCCATTGTAATCATTTTATAGATATTAGTCCATCTAACCTTCACATGCCTCTATGAGCTATATATTTTGAATTTGCAAATGAGGAACTCAGACACAGAGAGAGCAGATAACTTCCCCACAGTTTCCCAGACAGTCCATGGCGGAGCCAACATTATAACCCAGGCTGCAAACTTACCAAGGTTCAAACTGAATACAAAATATTTTATATAGATAAATTTATCATACACACTTAAATACTATACTAGTATATAATGATAATGTTCCTAAACTTCAGATGAAAGTGAAAAATATTATTAGGATCCAGGCAGAAAGAATGAGGAAGCTGTAAAGGAAAAGCAAAAACAGTCTGGCACTGGATCTGTCTCCTATAACGCTGGAGGTTAAGAGATAATGGAACCACATCTATAGAACTCTGAGAGAAAAGGATTGCAGCTCTAAATCTTATACCCAGCTAAGACATCAAACCTCAGCCAGAATGAAAGGGAGGAATGTGAGGGGGATCCAGGGTTCAAGTACAACATCTGAGGAAAATATTTAAGAATGAACTTTGATCAAGCAGCAAATAAACCAGAGTAGCTGCATCAGATAGGGAGAGACAAGAGGAGAACAGAAGTGGTGAGAAACAATGTCTTCCCCAATATATCTTTGTGTGCATATTAAAAAATGTGGGAGCATTCCACAAGTGCTTCTTGATAATTAAGGATAGTCTAAGTGCTACATAAAAACTTCTGAAAGGGAAGGGACATACACTAAGGGAAACTTAGCACACAATAAATTATTTTGTTCAATAAAGTCGTCCAGTAGTTGAGGAATGGGGGTAGAGGGAAGTAAGGAGATTAAAATATTCCAAAGGTCTCGTTGTAAAGGAAGGTAAATGTGGGGAGAGGAAACGAAAAAAGTACTCCGGAGGTCTCATCTAATTACTGGGCAAGGGGGCGCTGGAGAAATTAGAACATCTTAGAGATGGTGCATTTCAGCAGATGAAAGAGCTGATTCCTTCTTTTAAACTGGAAGGAGAGTGATTAGGTGTCCAAGAGAGCTGAGGCCGGGAACCAATCCTGGAATGGAAAAGTAAAGTAAAACCTCCAGCTTTAGGGAAAACAAAGAAGGAACAAGTAACTTAATCAAAACTTGAGCAAAAATGAAACAGGTTAGCAGTATAAGAACTAATGATGAAGCAGTAGAAAAAGTAGCAGTAAAGTAGAAAGAACATAATTCAACAAGTAAGCAGTATAAGAAAGAACGATGAAGCAGTAGAAGTAACAGTAAAGCAGAAAGAACATAATTCAGGATATCTGTCTTAACACTTAAACTGAACTCTTCCACTGAGAAACCGAAACTAGTCGGGGATACAAACAGAGCTGTGTCTGATGTATGTAAGAAATACCTTTAAATAAAATACCCTTGAAATAACGTGATAAACGTTGAAAGTAAATAATTACTAGGCAAATGGAAACAAAAAGAAGAGTATTCACATTAATAAAATCATAGTGAAATTTAAGTTTAAACTCATTAATCAGGATAAAGACTTCATAATAAAAATTTGCAATTAAACTCACAAACATGCATATTACCAAGTCACTGAATAATGCCATCATTTTTCAAAAAAGTAAAAACATAATGGAAAATATAGAAACAGTAGGAGACTGTGCAATGCGCCTTTCAGAATTGATCAGGACTATGGAAGATAAATAGTGAAGGACCACATGGACGATATTGCTTGAGTGGATACTTTTTTGTAAAGTACCTAGGCCCACAGATCATTTGTAAAACTTGATCGAGAATTTGATCTCCGAAAAGAACAATGAGTATGAGGCAGTAATCTTTTGACTTAGTGTTTCTCTCCCCCCACTGCTGTCAGGAAGTTTAACAATCTATAGAAATGTATCAATCCAGCAGCTTCTAAGTGTAACCGCAAGGACTGAGTGTAACTGGGGTAGCAAAGGAAACCAGATGGTGTCAACAAGAGTCAGGCTAACTAAGTTATGGAAACAGTGTTGCTGTTGACAAGAAGGAAAACATCTTCCTTACTTTAATTTCAGCGAGAGACGCCATTGCCCACGCAATGGTTGATCGCAGGCCTGCGGTCCTGATGTAAGTTCTGCTGGCTAACGGGACCCTGCAGAGAGAAGACGCTGATTACATGGCAAATACTGTTGCCCTTGAGTGGGGTCCTCTCCGACTCCCTGCCACCTTATGTGGAACGGAAGGAAACACAGCTGGGTCTTGCATACGCTTCTCTACCTTTGCATGTTTGAATCTGTGTGACAGCCACCTTGTTAATACACCCAATTCCTCTGAATATAAGAAGAATGTGGTTCAAGTAATAAAAATGACTAACCTGCTTATCCCTGTGAATCACTTCAACATATTCATCGACAGATGTAGAGTATTCCTTAAGCTAGAAAATATTTTAACTTTATTATAAAAATATCTTGTCTAACAGCCTGTACTTCCAAAAGGCAATTTCGAAAAAGACAATTGAAATGTACATTTTCATGTGTTTGGATTTTTAAAAATGTAACCATGAGGAAGACCCGTATAGAGGATTTATATCCTTCCTTGTCCTCCCATAGAATAGGCCTTTTCCTGCTGAGGCAGAGTCCCCACAAAGAGCACATGTTTGGGGACACAGGTGTGGAAAGTGAGACTGAACAGGTACTAGCACTTGAAATCTGCTTTCTATAATGAACTGCCTTTCATAAATTTGCAATTTGCTCATTTTCATCTTTTTTCCAAAAGGAGGCAGTAAAGCATGACACTGAATTGTCCACAATGAAGGACTGCATTAGGGGGAAGGCACACGCTTTACCCAAGGGGCTCATCATTTCTTACTTTACCCTCCACCTTGTGGTGGCTACGATCAGTATTTCCAGATTTGACAAAGACTTCAAATTCCACTGAGAATCATTTCTTCTTTTGTAAGGCAATGAACAAAAAGCATTTCCTAGGAAATCTCCACACGGTTGTTGTTTTCACTTGCACGGTGTGTTGATGAGATTGCATAATGGGATCTCATTATCTGTGGTCGGTTATCCTGGGGCAGGCTTGTCCAAAAGAAAGAAGGCTCTTTCTTTCACAGATATTATGCAAAGCCAAATGTTCTCTAAACTCTCCTTGCAGACTTTCAATAGAATTTCAGGCATATAAACATTGAGAATTTCTTTCTTTCACCAGTTTGTTCCTCTTTCTTCTTCTATATTTCCAGTTAACCTCTTTGGGGTATATTTATTGCAAATCCTCTCAAATCTTAGTATTAAATGACACACCCCTTTCATATGAAATAGTATAATTGCAAACTTGCTGCTATACTAGAGAAGCCTTATATGATAAACACTCGGCATTTCACTTTTTAATAACATTCCTTCAGGAAATAACAATTCATAATAGATGCAATTAATACTGTATCTAATGATTTGTAATCCAGTAGGCAAACTACAGATGAAAAGACTATAACATATTTTGATTATCAATCTTGCCTTCCACAGATTAAGTTCTACTACTGTGCTATAAAACACATTTCATAAAGCCAACATTGCAAAATTATTTTTAGTCCAGGTACCAAAGGGAAGAAAAGCGGGGAGGGGAGGCAGGAGATCGTTAATACAAACATTCTTTGCCCATCTCAATATCAAATTCACTGCCATCAAGTCAATTCCAACTCATAGCAAGCCTACGGGGCACAGTAGAACTGTCTGTTTGGGTTTCTGGGACTTTAAAAAATATTTATGGAAGTAGACAGCTTCATCTTTCTTCCAGGGAGCAATGTGTAGTTTTGAACCATTGACGTGGTTAGCAGTTCAGTGCATAGCCCGCGCCACCACCAGAGCCCTGTCTTTGCCCACATAGGACTGTATGTTTCAAAGTGCTTTAGTATGCAGCAGGGGTTTATGTGGAACCTCTGAATGGCTACACATGCACCGCCCGCCCCAAACACATGTATACATACATATATACACACACGCACTATTTTTCTAACAATAGAATTTTTATTTTGTG